AACAATAGGAGAAACTGGAGACCCCATAGCACACCCATGTTTCTGCCTATAATATTGCTCCCCATATGTGAAGTAGGTTGACTGCAGGCACAGTTTCAAGAGTTGACACAGTTGTTCTGTGGAAAGCGTGGTCCTGCTGCTCAGAGTGGTGTCTGATTTTAATCTTAAACTGACCACCTCTACTGCATCATCAACAGGAATGCACGTAAAGAGTGATGTGACATCAAAAGAGACCATTGTTTCATCAGTCTCCATGATGACATCCCTCATCTTATCCCCAAAGTCCATGATGTTCTGTATGTGGTGTTCTGAGCTGCCAACTAAAGGGATGAGTACAGACGCCAGATATTTGGAAACATTGTAAGTGACAGAGTTAGTCATGCTAACAATAGGTCTTAAAGGTACACCTTGTTTGTGGATTTTAGGTAAACCATACAGACTAGGTGTGGCCTCCCCTGGGTACAGTCTGTGGTACAGAAAAGGGTCAATAGCCCTGTCCTGCTCCAAATTTTTCAGGCAATCTATTAACTTCCTCTTGTAACCACTTCCTGGATCTCTTTTCAGAGGTTTATAAGTGGTTGTCACTAAGGAGTGTCATAACTTTCTCATGATAGTCTTTCTGGTTCAAAATCACTGTGCACCTTCCTTTGTCTGCTGGGAGAATGATGATGTTTTTGTCCTTGCTAAGAGTGGTGAGTGCATCCCTCTCCTCTCTACTGATGTTGGAAGGTGGTGGTTTGGCATTGCTGGGGCAGGATGAAACTTTGATTCTGAGCCGTTCTGCTTCACCCTCTTTCATTTTGTTGTTTGCGGATGGCTGATTCTGTGGCTGTGATCATCTCCACCAGAGGAATTCTACTTAGTGCAACCGCAAAGTTCAGTCCCCTGGCAAGAATCTCTGTCTCCGGCTGTGTGAGCTGTCTGTCAGATAAATTCTTCACCCATTTTTCTGTCTCCCTGGCATGTAATTGTCTACTGGAGTGTTGTCCTACACTGAATGTGTTGTTATTGGAATAGTGATGGTGTTGATGAGTTATTAGTAAGTTAAACTTATTTTGTTGTTGAGTCTTGGACTTGACATGCTGTGCTAAGCGTGTCTGATCTGTACAGTCCAACACTTGCTGAAGTGTGGTCTGATCTAGACACATAGTTAGTTTCTGTTTAATGTGCTCTTCTTTGGCCTTTAATAATGTCATCACAATGTCAGCACTGTATGTTTCCACACAATGGCGAAATTAGTCTCTGCATTTAACCCATCCACCACCAGGTGGTGCAGTGGGCAGCTATTGAATGCGCCCGGGGGACATTTTGGGGATGAGACGTACTGCCCAGAGACGCCACGTGATGTGCAGTGACTGGGGATCGAACCTGGGACTTTCGGGTCCCAAGCCGGCTGCCCTGCCTCTACACCATCTCGGCCCCCATATCAAGGCCTCAATAGTAAAATTGGTCTGTCTCACCCGTTCATTCAGCAGCTGGGTCTGTGCCTTCTGAAGGATCTTGCTTGCCCGGTGCCCGCTGACCGATGATTTTAGTTCCAGGCTCTTGGGAATGATGCCACTTTGTCAACATCTGAGGTTGAATCGCAAGTGGTTCCTGTAGTCTGCCCTCTTCCTTGCTGTTTTCTCAAGCTCTCTTACTAGTTTGAGGCAATCCTGGCCAAAGTGATTCAAAATATCCTGATGCATGCTCAGTAATCCAGGTAGGAAAATCCAAAAAAGTTCAATCTGGTCCTCTGGACATTCAAAAAAACAAAAACAAAACGAAGCAAAAAAATATAGAAACGTTTAGTCTCTCATCCAAGAGACTTGCTCAGTCTGAGGTGCTATTTTTCGGCTCAGTCTCTTAAATAGCACCTTCTTAGAGTGGATCAACCAGTTTTGCTGCTGACAACCAAAAACAGCTGATCACATGCTCAAGAAGGACCATCAGCCTAACAATGGATCATTAGCACACTGATGGCTGCTTACTATTCACAGAGGGCTGAGTTTTTTTTTTTTGTTTGTTTTTTTGAATGTCCAGAGGACCAGATTGAACTTTTTTGGATACTTTAATTACTGTTTAAATGCAATTCATCTTGTCATACCTGCAATATCTTCAGACTTTGCCAATAAAATAAAAGTTGAAGCTTAATCATTAAATTATTATCTTTGTGTTATATTTATTTATAAATCACATTTAAACACTGCTTGTACTAATTAAATTAAATAAAAACTAACACACACGTTTATCATCGTCATTAATCAGATAAACAAACAGCTTCATCTAACAGACAGACTGACGTTACGTTTTCTCACTTAGAAACAGAACAATGTGAATATTGTAGAGAATTCAAAAAGCATCGGAGGAGCTTTCTCAATCAATATTGAGAAAGCTCCTCGGATGAGGAGCGAAACGTCTTCTGTTACAAATAAAGTCCAGTTGTTTTTGTATTGAACGTTTTTTGAATTCATCATGTCTTGGATTACTGAGAATCTTCACCAGCATATTGTAGAGACTCACCTGCAACACACGAGTTGGGAGTGAGACGAGTTGTATCAGCTGCTGAGCTCCTTCTTCCTCCTCGTGTCTCAGACATGTTTACGTTTATCTCCGTGGTTCTCCCGTGTCGTGTCGGCGATTTTCAAAGCGGCATGTTTCTCATTTTTTATCTTTGTGAAGTTCTCCCACACTTTAAAGGACTTGGGTTGAACAGATTTCTCTGTGTTGGTCATTTGTAAAATGTACTTTATTTCCTTTGAAAACACCGCCTCTGTTCTTCCTCGCTCCTCGCTCTGTTCAACTCGCGCTGCAGTTTTTTTTTCTAACTTTATTCAGTCAGTCAGCATTGACAATGAACTGCCCATGAACAAAACAATGAAAGATGCATAATCGCGCGACACAACGAATCGATAATGAAATTCGTTGCCAACACTTTTAATCATCGATTTTTATCGATTTTATCGATTCGTTGTTGCAGCCCTAGATATTATAAACCTTGTGATTTTAAAATGTAAACATTATGATTTTAGAATGTAATCTGGTTTTAAGCTTGTTCATGATGATTGTTGGAAGAAGAACGCGTAGCTTCATGAATGTTTTGGAAAGAGTTATACAAGCGAAGGTATTACGCAATGGAAAAGCCCCCGAAACAGCTCTGAGCAAATCAGGATAGGACAACTCAGAATGACTAAGCAAAATTGAACAAAAGTACATCCAGAGATTAATATGCATGAGGAGTGACTGGCAAAACCTCATTAGAGGCCTGTAAATTCAGACCAAGGTCCAACCCAAAAGGGGATGGATTAGCCTGATGGCATGACCGGTCTGGAGATGTCAGTCAAAATCTCAGGCTATATAAACAAGGGTTTCAGTGAAAACTCTGCTGTTTGGGACCCACCGCTCGTGCAAGGAGAAGGACAAGAGGACCACGAGACGATTGTGGACTAATAGGTCAATTTTGGATGGTCTCTGCTGGAGAAGAACTAGGGTGAAATCCGTTGGAATACGCTTCTTTTTGGAACTATTCATCAACCCATCAGCCCGGATTATTCCTAAATCCTTTTTCTTCAATTTCAACCAGACTGAGGACCAGGAACGGCCCACATCCAAGAGAGAGATGGGAAATTTGTCTCTTACTAATTCAGAAAACATGGTAAGAGGACGTTCCTCAAATTTAGTCCTTAATAAAACCTTATTCCAAATTAAAGCTGCGGTGTATGAATTGACAAGCAGAAAAATCAAATATGTTATAAAACTGGTTGCTCAGAGTTGCAGAAGGGTCTTCCTTGCAGTGAGAAATAATGTGTTGGGTCAGGTAGAGAGAGTAAGTAAACTGTGTGGGTACTTGTGTTCCTGAGTGAGACCAGGCGTGGCCGGCCAGACTAAAAGAAGTCCGAGGCCGAGCAGAGAGGAGTTCAAGAGCCTGTCTCAAGCCCCTCCACAGGGACGAAGATCTACCTTGCCCAGGAAAGGTCAACAACTGGAAAAGGGACTAAGGAGTGAAAATTATTCATCATGTAATCTCTTTGTAATCGAGTGTAATCATTATTGTGCAATACCGCTGTTCCCCTGCAAAAATTTATTGATTAAAGCAAAGCAAAACGTAAAATTCTGGATTCTTATTTCAAACACCCCTTTTGTTCTTGTAAGTGGAAAACTTGGTTCAGAGAAACAACAGAAGCACAGGAGGTTTTAAACGGTTTTATTAGCTTTTGATCATAAAACAACATTCATGAGCCTTGTGCCTAGGCTCTAAACAATGCCAGATCGATTAACAATTGCAACACTAAATCAGGAGATGAGCTACCGTTAACTTGCGCTTCCTCGTCTGCTAAACATCCCCACTCCTGCTGCTAGGTCGGGCGAGGCACGAGGTGAGACTTTGGGTGTGGTGCAAGGATCGGAGGTAGTTAACAGTCTGGGTGAATCATCTCAACACAGCCTTAAAACTAAAACTGTCCTAGGAAACGGCTGCGGGTAATACCTGAGCTATAGGATTAGTTTTGAGACCCGTTGGAGGAGAGGCTGCGGTGAGGGCGTGGCACGTGTACTGTACCTACCTCACTTGGGAAAGCAAGACAACTGCTTCAGAGATGGGTATGCAAGTGAAAAGAGAAGTCACATCATACGATACAAGGGTTTCTCCTTGGGTTAGTTTCAAATGTTGTTGGTGTTCAAATACTTATTTTCCTCACTGTACTAGGCCAAGGAACCAACATCTACATTGGGAGTCTGAGTGGAGCTTACAAAGACCATCACCTTGGTCTTTTCCTCACTGAACTTTAAGAAGTTCACAGCCATCCAGGCTTTTATGTCCTCCAGCCATGAAAACAGAGGGCCCAGAGAGTTAGTGTTTTTTCTTTAGTGGGACATATATCTTTGTATCATCCGCGTAACAATGAAAGGAGATCCCATATTTAAAAAAATAAAAAAGGAGGGAACAGGTACAGTGTGAAGAGGAGAGGCCTATAATTGAGCCCTGTGGAATCCCACACAAAAGAGGAGCAGAGGAGGACATGTGGTCACCATGGCAGACACAGAAAGTACGTTCAGCTAATAGGACCTAAACCAGTCCAGTGCACCACCACTGACACCCCCCATTGTTTCGAACGACAAAGTAAGATGTTATGAGCAACTGTATCAAAAGCAGCCGATAAAGCTAAAAGTAAGAGGACAACACTGTCACCAGAGTCAGCCCTGGCTCTTTTCCTGATTTAATAACTGAAAGACAAGGTCTTCCTCCTCCAAGTCCTCATCATCATTTGAAAATAAACATCTACTCTGAAAACCTGCAGTTGGTTATGACTGATGTGAGGTCTGCTGCAGGAGGATGAACTTACCAGGACTTCTTGCCCCACAGTATTTTTTTATTAGTAGCCCATGAGAAAATGATTGTTTCAAACTAGAGTGAGATCTGAAGTATAAACAGACTTTAACTTTGTCTTCAGGTCTGTTTGTCTGTCTGCAAATCTGTCTCTGTCTTCAGGTCTGTCTCTGTCTGCTGGTCTGTCTCTGACTTCAGGTCTGTCTCTGTCTTCAGATATATCTTTGTCTGTAAGTCTGTCTCTGTCTTCAGGTCTGTCTGTGTCTTCAGATCTGTTTCTGCAGGTTTGTCTCTGTCTTCAGGTCTGTCTCTGTCTTCATTTGTGTCTCTGTCTGCAAGTCTGTTTCTGTCTTCAGATCCATCTCTGTCTGCACATCTGTCTGCCTGTATGTTTGTCTCTGTCTGCAAGTCTGTCTCTGTCTTCAGGTCTATTTGTCTTCAGGTCCGTCTCTGTCTTAAGATCGATCTCTGTATGCAGGTCTGCCTCTGTTTTCAGGTCTGTCTCTGTCTGCATGTCTGTCTCTACAGGTCTCTCTGTCTGCAGGTTTTTATGCAGGTCTATCTCCGTCTTCTGGACTGTCTCTGTCTTCATGTCTGCATCTGTCTTCAGGTCCATCTCTGTCTTCAGGTCCGTCTCTGTCTGCAGGTCTTTCTCTGTCTTCAGGTCTGTCTATCTGCAGGTCTGTTTCTGAGTTTAGGTCTGTCTCTGTCTGCTGGTCTGTCTCTATCTGCATGACTGTCTCTGTCTTCAGGTCTGTCTGTGTCTTCAGTTCTGTCTCTGTCGTCAGGTCTGTCTCCGTTTGCAGTTCTGTCTCTTCTGCAGGTCTGTCTCTGTCTGCATGTCTGTCTCTATCTGCAGGCCTGTCTCTCTGCAGGTTTGTCTCTGTCTGCAAGTCTTTCTCTGTCTTCAGGTTTGTCTCTGTCTTGAAGTCTGTCTCTGCTTGCAGGTCTGTCTCTGCTGTCTCTTCTGCAAGTCTGTCTTTGTCTGCATGTCTGTCTCTGGCTTCAGGTTTGTCTCTGTCTTGAAGTCTGTCTCTGTATACAGGTCTGTCTCTGTCTTCAGGTCTGAGGGATGAGGTACTGCAGTACTCGAGGAGGGGTCCAAGGATGGGACTTCCGGGACGTTCTGTTCTCAGGTTTTGCTCCAGATGGAGGGATGTTTATGCCAGAAACTCTTCCAGTCCTCAGTCCAGACACCGTTAGGAGCTGGAGGGGCCTGCCTTACTCCAAACTTGTGGTGGAGGTCTCCTCACTCTTCATTCCAGCTCAACTGATCCCCAGAGACCACCTGGAGGGTAAGTTCACCTGTCGGCTCAATAATCTGATGTATCCACTGCAAATAACTAGCGTGTAATCAGGACCCTCTTGCCACTGTAACCAGGTGGTTCCTGCCTGTCAGGGGTCATAATGTTATGGCTGATGAGTGCATAGACACATTAGGTTATTTGACAAAAAGTAACAAAGTCTGTCATTTTCATGTGGACACAAAACCTTATCAAAGCTCAACGTTGGAAAATGATCCTCTCTGCCTCCAGCTCTGGTCTCTACAGCTCTGTCGGGTTTCTCGGTACCAGAAGTGGTCCGAATATCTCGACTCGGAGACAGCCTGTCGCTCTTGGAGCTCTTCCATGGATCCACTTTGGCCTTCAAGGACCTGGCTATGACCTGCACCGTGCATTTCACCAACTACTTCCTGCAGAAAGAGAAGTGCAGAGCCATCGTTCTCGTTGGTAAGATGAAGGTTTGGGGTTTTCTCACGTCTCTTTGGACAGATCAAAAAATTTGAGCTTGTGTTTACAGTTTTACAGACGTGGGAAAATTCAGAAAAAAAATTAATCTGAGTGTGGTTTGATTTTTATTTCCTCTTGCTTTTTCTAAAATGCAAAAGTCTGAAATTTTCCAACTAAATCATAATTCAGTAAAAACATGCCCGATTTTGTAAAAATGCTTTAAAAGTTTAAAATATATGTTGATTTTTATTTTCCATTAACTTTTAACATATTTATACAGAATAAACATTTTATTGAACAAGACTGAATAAAAACATAATTCTCTCTCTCGCTCTCTCTCTCTCTCTCTCTCACTCTCTCTCTCTCTCTCTCTCTCTCTCTCCTCTCTCTACATGCATGTATGTATATATATATATGTGTATGTATATGTATGTATATGTATATATGTATATGTATGTATATGTATATGTATATATGTATATGTATATATATGTATATGTGTATGTATATGTGTATGTATATGTATATGTATATATATATATATATGTATATGTATATATATATATGTATATATATATGTATATGTATATATATATGTATATGTGTATGTGTATATATGTATGTATATGTGTATGTGTATATATGTATATGTATATGTGTATGTGTATATATGTATATGTATATGTGTATGTATATATATGTATATGTGTATGTATGTATATGTATATGTGTATGTATATATATATATATGTATATATATGTATATGTGTATGTATATATATGTATATATATGTATATGTGTATGTATATATATGTATATATATGTATATGTGTATGTATATATATGTATATATATGTATATGTGTATGTATATATATGTATATATATGTATATGTGTATGTATAT